CATGTGGGCTTTGTTGCTTCAGAGCTAGATGGCCGCTTGTTTACCTTCAAGCTTTTAAGACCCCAGACGTTATATGTTTTAATAGCCGGGCACCATCAGCTTTCTTCACCATATTTGCTTATGCACCTGCAAGCTAGTTTTTGAGGCTTGAAATTACGAAGAGAGAAGAGAATACATGGAGAAAGGAAAATAACAGAGTACATTCTTGTGAAATACTTCCCTTAAGGAAGCACGAAGGAATGCAAAAAACAAACAAATGAAAGTATGCGAACCAAGAGATGACCATAGTGAGAAACCAAGGAAAGGTACTTTCAAGAAGATTCACATCTGTTTCTTCTAGCAAGATCTCTGTTCTCTTGTATCATATTATGCATTGATTGTACTATCCTGTCTAGCACAGTGTTTTACCGATAGTAGCTTTTCAGTAATTTAGCAAGTCTCAAAGCCCTAATGGCCCCCATGGGTAAATGCCGGGCTGCCCCCCAGCAACTGTGGGGAAGAAAGAGGTGGCAGTCTGCTTCTGAAGGACAGCTTTGGAAGCCCTGTGGTGCAGTGTTGTGCTCTCTCCTGTAGGGTCACTGATAGTCAGAATTGAGTTGACGGCACTGGGCTTGGTTTGGCAAGAGAATCATGGAATCTCACTTGTCCATCTTCAAGGACGAACATTTTAGCAGAGTAAATATCTGAGTTTCGGGCCACTGATTGTGAAGTCAGATGTCCTATTGAAATCTTGAAAGTAAAGTCATTGGGAAGAGCTTGCGCTTCACAGGGTTTCTACCAAGTTCTCTGTTTCCAATCCCCTTTGTGGTATTTTCTTGATCTTTTCCAGCTTCCCCTTTGGTAAAATGGTAGAAGTCCTAACCAGCAGTCAGTGAAGGATCTGAAAGTGCAAGGAGGGTCTCAGGGACTGGACACACGCATGCATTCTTTCCTCTTAGACTTGAGCTGAGTAGACAAATGATTATTTAAGACTGTTGATTAACCTTCTCACTTTGTTGGGTGCCTTCAGGAAAGTAGAAAGGAATGGCTTGCTGTAAGCAGAGAAGAGCGCTGTCAGAAAACAGCCCTTAAAAGCCGATTGCTGAGATTTCAAGAGCAGGTTGCAAAAGGAAGGCTTGGGAAAAGATTTGGTTTATTTGGTGCTGTGCTTTCTGTCCAGGAAAGACGAAGAACTGAGGGTGACCCTTCAGGATGGTACAGAAGAAGAAAATAATCTCTAAGGAAGACTTTTGGCCAATCATTTGATCATGAGTTGATATAAAATCTTGTAGTCAATGTGTGTGACAGGACTAGACTTCTGAGTAAAGAATAAATACAAATGATTGAGCAAGTGGATTCAGTAGTGGTTTGTTGTCTATATACAGTATTTATATATCATGTTCTGCGTGATAATGGCAATGAAGATAGCAAAGTTAATCTTATTCAAGTGCACAACTTAGAAGTCACAGATAGAGGTATCAAATTGGTACTGCATAGCATCTTTGTAATCACATCTATTAAACAGGTTAGAGGAACAAAGTTGACTAATTGTTAAAAGAATAGTAGCATAGTCACTTACATGTAGACTTTTTAAAAAATCATTTTATTGGGGGCTTGTACAAGTCTTTTTTTTTTAATCGTTTATTAGGGGCTCATACGACTCATCACATTCCATACATACATCAGTTTTGTAAAGCACATTTGTACATTCATTGCCCTC